TTCCTCATACAGTGCTGATGGGAAGCACCAAGCCAAGCACTAAGTATACAAACCTCTAGATTGTTTTCAGGGATCAATACGTGAGAATTTTGCAAAACAGGTCATGTCATGGTGGGATTTGCAGCTTCTGGGTCACAAGATAAAGAGATCAGCCTAGAAGAAGGTTTTGCAAGGTGATTGTAAGGTAATTTTGTGATTAAGATTATTCTTGGGTAGCTGACCCTGGACATATCCCATGCAAGTGAGGGCATGCTGGGGAACACACAAAAAGGGAAAATTGAAAAAATATATAAAAAAAAAATTTACATGCTTTGCATGAATTTTCTTTGAGGTATGGGTTTGTCTTTGACACCAATGCACGTCAGTGTATTGTATCTGTCACCTTTACCATTTTTTTTACCAAAAAATTAATTTCTCTTTGGATCATGGAAGAAAATATTTATATTTTGGACTATGAGGCTACCGACTACCATTGTCAATTCTGTTTGTTTTTCAATGAGACATCAAAACTCTCTTCTTAACAGCTGTTTATTATGAAGTGCAGAAAAGAGGTTGAAATTTGTTGCCTATTAATGTGGAGTGAAAGTAACATGTTCACATCAAGCACTCACAAGCTAATTTTTAAATATTAAAATACACTATATTCAGCATAAAATACAGTTAACATTAGAAACTTCAGTTTTCATTACATGGAAGCAAAAGCAATAGGCCCTGAAATTGTGACAGCACAGAGCCACAGCTACACAGCTATAGGGCCATAAATGAAGTACTACAGGGAGCATTAGTCTGTGGGATGGTTTCTGAAAACTAATGAGCTGCAAAAATTGCTGAGGACAGAGAATGCTATCTTGTTAAAAAAGGTCTAGTAGTTAAAATAGATAGGGAAATAACCACCTTTCTTTGCACTTTCCTTTTAGTTTCAAGGCTTTCAAGCCAAATGTTCTGGCAGTGCAAAGCTGCCATTCTCTGGTGTCTAGGAAGGTGGTGCTAAACTACAAATTATGGAAAAAGCTGCGGTACCTGCACGCCCTGCAGCTAAAGGACTTACTGATGGTTATTGCCGTTTCTTAAAATCCCAAAAGACTGTAGAAAGAATGCTGTAGGAAGTAAAAAAAAAAAAAAAAAAAAAAGAATAGGCTTAGGATACTGTTATTTATAATCTCCCGATGAACTTCCCAGTTCAGTGTTAGGAAAGCTCAATCCTTTCTGCAGCATCTCTTACTTTTGTCACGTGAGAATCAAGATCTGCTCTCAACTTTGTGGCTTTTAGGCTGTTTATATTGTAGAGCAATGCATGAGTGCTGACACTCACAGCACACACTGTTTGCATCATAAGAAAGCTGCATCCAGCTCAGAGAAATATATTGTATTCTTCATATGCATAAAGAATTTCATGCTGTCCCCAAGTGATAGGCTTTGTTCTGCTATGCATAAAATTCTTTGGTTTGCCGTTTTTCAGCCTGAGTTTAAAAGTGAGCTTCTGCTTCTGGTCACGTTCTTTTTTTCAAGTCTGAAGATTTTTTCACTAAAACCAGAGATTAATTGCAGTGCAAGAATGTGGGAAGTCCAGAAATACCAGGCCTGGGCTACTGGACACTTTGACCCTTCATTATCAGTGCTAATATTACCAGTTTCCTATAAAACTTTCTATACAATAATGGACTTTTTTGAGGAGCAGCCTGCGAGAAAAGTTAATAGTGTTTGTTTCCTTAATGTTGTGACATATTATCAAACAATTTATTTACTCATCACTTTAATAGACAGAAGTGATGAGATCTTCTTCCTGGAAAAATGGTTTCAAGTACTGACTTGAAAGGTATCTAAAAATCAAGGATTTGTGAAAATAGTTCAGAGGGCTCCTGCTCACTTGCCCAGGCTGTCTGCAGCTTCAGTTCCTTACCTGATTCTCACAACATTTGGCACAGGTGATTATTATAGCAGAGAGAAAGACTAAAATACTCACCCCTGGTCCACAGGAGAAAAGGGTGATAGAATCAATCATAGAAACAGTACTTTTTGAGTGCCAGCTCTGTACTCATTACCTATTTGTGTGATGAAAAATATCTATATCATTACTAATATGTTCTTCTTTCTACTAAGTAAATTATTTCAGTGTGAAAGTGTGACTTGCACATAACCTTCTATGAAGCAGTGGTAATGTAATGTACAGGCAGTTCCAAATATGATGTTATTTCTCGTCTTTAAAATCCTACTGAGATCTGCACGGAATTGCTGCAGAAAGCATGGCCTGAGGGACGTGTGTGGCATGAAGAGGTCTAAAAACCAGCCTGCAGTTGGCCTCTAGCAAACAGCCTTCCATTCCCTGAGAAGAGATGAGTTAGAGACAAGAACAATCCCTGAGGCTCCAAGATTGAGAAGAATATATTTTTAGAAAGCCATCAGATGTTTGCCATTTGAAAGCTGGAGACTCCCACGAGCAGGACACCAGCTGGCGCAGCAGCAGAACCCTTTATAAAAGTCATCACAATGACCTCAACAGGGAAATGTATGTGCTGGCTGCTCCTGAACTCTGTGGCAAGGGGTAGCAATGTAACCACATCCAAATGGGCACACAGCAGAGTATTGAATGCTCTCACACAGCAAGATTGCTCACTGGTTAAAGCTTTGCCTGGTAATGTTCATAGAAGTCTGCTAAATCTAAAAACATTTATTTCAGTCCACAGAATACATATAGTTTTCTTGATGTTTCATTTTTTAGAGTATTAGTTTTCCCTTGATTTTAGGTATGCATTGATATTTATGTTGTGGTGGATAGTTATTTTGGAGACATTATGCAGGAATACTCCGTTTAGGAAGCACAGAGTTTGTCCTCCGTAAAAAGCAAGTCCCTATGTCACATCCCTTGTGTCAGTAGCACAGCATGATGGCTATAGCCTGTAGGTAGATGGGGCTGACTGTGATATTGATGGCTGTTTTAGGACTAATACTTCCCACATGAAAAATGCATGTTTTCACAGAAGCACAAAAGCCATGTTCACATACTTCCACTTCTAATTCCATCCCAAATGCTGGCAACCACCAGCAAAGCAGGACTATTTTACTGGTCTTTACCATTATAATGCAGGATAGCTTATCAAGAAGGAACTGCCATCATGATTCACTCAGTACAGAAGAGATTATAATTGACTAGTTCTAATCTTGGCACAAGTCACATCCTTTTGCTTATCTGATTTCTTCATAATTCACCTTGAAGTATCTGCCACTGAGAGCTGTCTGGAGCTTCTTACCTGTCAGTCATGGAAGGTTTGGATGGAGTGCTGGGTATCAGTTAAAAATGAAGGTGTCAATCAGACTCATCACCCAGAATTCAAGACTTGTTTGTTCCATGTGGCTTACGAGGATCACAGGGCTCTCAGGAACATCCCTGGAGACCAGCTCTGCAACATGACTTGGACAGTAATGAGAGGTGTCTGTTTTGGAATGGCCCTAGAAGCCAGTTTATTTTGATGTTATCTGAAAAGCTTTCAAGATGAAGACAAGAACACGAATATATACATATATGTAGATAGGCATTATTTTGTCTACATAATATATATTCCATAAAATATATGCTCCACATTATATATTTATAATGGTTTTTAGGGCCATATATGTATAAGGACAATGAAGCTGGTGAAGGGTCTAGAAAGTGTCTTATGATGAGAAGCTGAGAGAGATTAGCTTTTATTCTGCTAAATTAACTATAGGTAAAGACATGCATACAGAGAAGTTAAGCACAGTATTTTGAAGGAAAAGAGAAATATATGCAAAGGCTGGCAGGACTCCCCACAAAAAAGGTGTTAAAAGAGAAATTCAAGGAAAATAAGGTGAAAAATACAAAAAAAAAAAAAAAATTAGCACAGCAGGACATTTTTCATTGATGTTTTCGGGGAAAAACAGTTGTGGCTTATGAGGCTTTTATGTTCGAGGCACTTGATAGAAAGCTGCTGTTTTAAATCTTGAGATGCCTCGGTTACTTCCTTTCCACCACCATTATCCCTACACCAGTGTCAGACTCCTGAATGTGGTGGCTTTGCAGCCACACAGAGGAGGGGAGGACATCTGTACCTCACCAGGTATCACACCAAAAATCAGCTGGTGACATTTTGCAAACCTGCACTCCAACAGTGGGATTTGTCTCCATTTTATTAAAACAGGGGATAATGCATGGCCCCAGACAGCGTACAAAGTACCAATTCACTTCCAGCTCCTTTACGGAGGTTGTAGCGCTAATGAAGCAAATCACATCTCAGGGAATATAGCCATGATTTAGCATGTGTATAACTATAATAAAATGTTGTTATGGCTGAGATTATGTTTCTAATGGAAAAAAAGAAGAATTAGGATTGAAATTGAAAAACAACCCAGTTCCTATAAAAGGTAAACATGTGCTTGGATAAAAGGTTAATAGAGTTAATTGTGGGGAGTAATACAAGACAACAACTCATGCTAGAGATGATAATTGTGATTCTGATAAAGGGGAATTGTAATTAAATAGAGGTTGGATAAACACGATTATCCTGAAAAGGTTTCCCAGCACAGTACCGGGAGGTTTTAAGATGTGGAGGCAGACGCCTGTACGTGATCTGGAATTAGAGACACCACTGCTGCCAGCCTTGCTGGGTGCTCACCACTGCAGCACGTTGCCCACGCTGCTGCTCTGGCCAGCAAAAGGCAGTAAATTGAGCTCATTTTGAAGTTTAGTTCACCTGCAACACTAACTGGCAAGTGATCTTCCTGGCTAGCTCACAACCCCCAAGATTTCTCATTTCTGCTGGTGCTCATTTCCACCCCCATCCTGCTGTGGGGGGAGCAGTTCTGGGTGCTGGCCAAGGTTGATCTGCCGCAGGACGGCTGTGGGCTGGAGCAGGTGAGGGCATCCCTCCCATACTATGCTTTTTACAGAACTGATAGAATTTGTTTACATGGATATTAAAATGAAATGCAGTAGCTTGATACTGAACCATGAGAAGCAAACAGAGGCTTTCCACACTGAACTGTTTTACTGAAATGGGTATCTGTGCTTAATATTTTTATTTGCTGAGTTACAAATGTTCCACAATAACCTATATGAGATGAAAGGAATCAAATATTCTTCCCAGGACAACCGGAATAATTCCAAAAAAGCTTTTTTGTTTTTGTTTCATTTAAATTGTGAAACATTTTTGCTATATTTTCAACTTTTAACTATATATCATTAAAAATATACTGAATTTGAATACAGGATGGTATTAATTCATATTTTTCTATAATTACAATAGATTATTTTACATTACACATACAGAATAAAAAACCCTGAGAAATTACTAAGAAAAACTATCAAATACTTCTGCTATTCAATTACTTATAGCACTGTTTGGAATCACTGTGTATCATAATGATATACATTCCCACATGCCTAAGGAAAATTTCTACCAGAGCAAGTGAACATCTCTCTAGGGACTACACAATTTTTCCCCTCTCAAAAAAAGAGAGGGAAGATCTTTTTGTTTTCAAATTTTTGTTTTTCCAGTGCCAACTGTATTCCAGATCTTCAAGCAGACTTCACAACCCCATATACAGAGACCTGTTATGAGCCCTTACTGTCACCTTTAAGCTTGCTCCTTCAAACTTTTTTCCTTTTAAATATTCTCCCCAGTCTCTGCACTTGCCTTATGTACTTCTGTCAGTTTAAAAGCTGCAGTGAATCCTAAAAGTGGGCTTGGACTCAAAACATGTCCTCAATGTTTTTTGGGCATATCTACAGCACTTTATGTTGCTGACTATATACATATTGAAATAATCCCACAAATATTAGGGTGAATAGCATCCATTGTGATAATGAATGAGACTGAGAGCAAAGTGAATTGAAATCACTTGTAGAAACCCCCAGCACATTTTCTTTGGCTTTTTATCTCTGCAGCTGGCACGTGGTACAATAATTGTCTTACGCACATTACTGTCTTCTTTGCTCGTCAAGTGAGTTTGTTAAAGTTTCTTGTACCAGACATGCATTTATTTGCAACCATTTCTAAGATCACGACTCTACTGCCTAAATCAGTTGCTGAAACTTGAATTCCGTGCATAAGATATTTAGGTATCAAGGTTATTTTTAAACTCAGTCATGTACAACACCTTTGCTTCCCTGCATACTAGCTCTTTGCAAGAGCTTCTGTTTATCAAAGCTTATTGAAAGAGTAATACTTTCTCTTTTTTTATATTTTAAAATTTCCACTGAGTTAATTTCCTGGAGGGATATTTCTGTCGCTGTACAGGAAGTATACAAAGGACCTAGAATCAAACACAGGTCAGAGATGACACAGTAGCATTATTCCCACAAAGCACCTCTAAGGATATTGGCTGCCTATGGTGCATACACAGGTTTTGGCATCCATAACAATTAATGTAGATATGGGAAAGTTAAGTTGTACACCTACCTAAAACACATTTGGAATGGTTTGCCACAGTGTTTCTGGAAAAACAACCTTTCACTGGTGAGTGACATATTTTCATTTCCTAAAGGAGAGAGGGGTTTTGAGAACATGTATTTTTATTAATTCTGCAACAATCAAAACTGAACTCTGGAAAATGTGTTTGATTTCTATGAAAATGTCATCCCTTTGGCTCTGACTTGCTAGCAGTGATTTTTTTCCCAATGTTTTATTAACATGACACTTTTACTTGAGAAAGTAACTGGCACATGCTGTAAATTTTGTGTTCTCCCAAGAGAAAATGAAGCAAGAGCTTTAAAAAGGAAACAGTGAAATGGTTCCTGCTTGTGTTTACCGACAACTGAAGGTGAACCTTTCAGTTATTTTACTGTCTTTCCAGCCTAACATCCTCCAGCGAGAGGATGGAACACTGAGCTCCCTGCCATGGAGAAGGATCTCTGCATGACTTACTGGTAGTGCAATGATCCAGTGAAACAGTGGCAGCTTCATAAGGAAAATTGAGGATAACACACTTCAGAATTACAAAAAGGGGGGGGTCTAAAACATGATGTTTAATCTCAGTGAATGCAGCTGCTCCCCTCCAGTGCAAACTACCACCAGGAAAGGTGATATTACACAAGAGATCAAAGTTCTCTATTCCAGATGTCTTATTCAGCTAATCCTCACCTAATTTTGATTAAAATGTCTCCGTATGTGTTTGTATAAAACAGAATTTAAGAAAATTTTGTAAGCATGGGTGACAGCCCAGTTCACAAAAACCAAAAGAACTTCAGCCTCAGGAGGAATATGGAAAGAAGTTATCAGTTCCCAGAGCTGTAATACTGAAGTTTCAAGGGGATTAAATACCCTTGCTGATGATAGGTATCTAGCTAGTACAAAGCTGATAAATCAAGCTATGACTTTTTTTTTTTTCCTCACTGATGAGGTGTTCCTAAAAAATAATTCCAAAAAGCTTTCCTCCAGTGAGACTGGAAAGCATTTGATCCTTGTATTTGTCATTTGTTCAAATTAAGAACACCAATACATCTAAAGTCAGATAAAGGTGGATTTCTTCTGCTACTTTTTGTCTTCATTCTATCAACCATATTCTCAGCTTTTCCACAACAGAGGAGAAGTGATGTCCTTCACAGCTGTCTCTCCCATTCATGAAATATACAGAAGCATCCTGGTAAATCTGCTTAGCTAGCAAGGTGATGCAGGCAGTAAAAGAAAACAATGTGGAACAGTTTACAGACCAAAGACATGCCCTGATAAACACCATATGTGTGTTTATAACATGTAGATGCAGACATGGTGGGAAAGAGAGAAGTTTAAATGGAATATTGTGGTTTTCAAAATATTTTGAAGGTAATGTCCAATCCAAATCCCCCCTGACACAGCTTGATGCCATGTACTATTGTCCTGTCACTAGATGCCTGGGAGAAAAGGCCAACCCCTACCTTGCTACAACCATGTGGAGCAGAATGGCAAACACTGGAAAGAGCAGATAGTAGTGATATTCTGCTGGTAATTTATTTAGAAGACACCAATACTGAAGTCTTTATCTTCAGTTGTTTGTCATGGGTGTATGCCTCCACCATTCCTATCCTTACATGTCCAGACCTCTTTTGCATCACTAACATTTTACCTTCTTACCTACAAAGCTATCCAAAATGAAAACAGTAGAGTTCTGTCTACAGTTAAACTATCCCTTTCTTTATTGCAGTGGAAGTGGGAAATCCAAGCCAAAGAAGACAAAAAAACTCCATCCAAACCCAAAACCTTGGAAAACTCGGGTTTTGGGGGTGCAGCAGTATTATCCAGCATTATACTGTTTATTAGGAGACATTATTTTCCTATGTCAAGAATATCTGCCATGATAGTTCTGCTATATTTGATTGGTTTCACTTTAAATCACATATCTGTTATTATCAAGAGTCTTTAGTGGAGGCCCTGAGAGGCTACTTCCCTTAACACAGCTGTGAGACACAATTGGCAACACCACACAATCCAGATGTAGACTGGTTACAACGACATCTTCCAATGTGAAATACGGCAGCAGCTTTGATCGTTGGCTATCTGTTGTCCTCTATGACAATGGTTCTTCTCGGATAGGTCTCAACATCCACAAATATGTAGCGAACCTCAAATCTTCCTGTTTCAAGATTCTGGAAAGGAAAAAAAATCAGAATGTTTTTTTCTCTTTGGTAGTTTAAATTCAAGACTAAGCTTGTCAGGTGTATCATGCAATTGTACATACCTCTTTGACTTCCACATGGACTGTTCCCTGTTTCCCTGATTCAGTGCCCTCAATATAGAACTTCAAACGCATATGTTTCAGTCCGTCCTTTATGTATTCAATGTGACTAAAAACAGCAACACACAAAAAAAACCCCAAACACCCAGCAAGAATACAGATTATATGCTAGTTAAGTCTTCAAATTTAAACTTACTTAGAGGAGTTGCTTACTTATTTTGTAAGAAAGTGTATTCCGGTGGTGTCCTTATGCTACCTTGGCTTCCTTCTCTACTGCTCCTCTCAAGCTTTACTGTGAGTGCCTAAGGACTAGTGGAGTTAGAAGAGCTAATTAGCTGCTGAGGATTAGGAGATCAAATGCTTAAATGTCCTCACCCCAGTCCTCCCCTCAAAACTGAAAAGCAATCCACTGCTGAAGACTATGGAAATTCCTTGTATTTATTCTAAAAAAAACCCAGATTTGGAGCCTGATATCTAGAAAGAGACCCCATGTCACCAAGACTTCTGGAATTTTTTTAGGCACTTAAACTCAGTTATCAAGCCAAAACACACACAACATGTTTTTTCAAATTAATTATCAGGTTGGTTAAACCACATCAAAACAAACAGTTTACTATGTGCTTTACTTACTTTGGCAATAATTTTGTTCTGCTGAAATTGTGTAACTTTGTCACTGATATGAGATCTCCAACCTAAATGCTGGTATTTAGACTGGAGTTGAGTTATGCTCAATTATTAAATAAATAGCACATGGCTTTCAAAGTGACCACTTTGGGAAACTAAAGATCCCATAAGATTTCAGGTGCCAGTGTATGTTTCCTACTGAAATGATTAACCGCTGTTTAGCACCAATGTCTGATTTTCATCAGTCATGCCCAGGTACACACTGTGAAATAAACTTCCAATACAGTTTAAAGTGACATGATGGGGTAGAGAGAACAAATACGAACAAAGAGCCTTACTCCAGTAAATTTACATTCAAGGTGTTCATACACAAAAAAACCCTGTAAATTTTTGAGATAAATATTTAAGATCATTTTTATACTGCAGATGCAAACTCTACAATCTTACACAGTTCTCAGCTCAAAAATTTATTTAAAACACAAGGCATCAAAATTATGGAAATATTTGTTTATTTACAGACACATCCTCAGAATGTTTGTGCACATCAATTTCATTTAGTAGCTTCACTTTAAACATTATTTCACAGAGTCTGGTAATGACATAAAGCTTCAACCAATAAAAGTCACTTTCCTCAGACAAAATAAAAAAAAAAAAATCTCAATTTCATAGTTCAACCTGTGTCTGGGTTTATGTGCCTCATCCTATGATACCTCATTGAATATATTCTTGCCAAATAAGCCAATTAAGCAGGGAGGACTTATATGTTTTGTAAGAAATAATTTTGTTGGTTCTTTCAAAAGGAAAGTACACACTCATGAAAGGTTTAGGTGCTAGATGTTCTGTTAAATACACAGTAGAGGTGTTGCCTCAAGTACCAAAAAGCATTTTGCTTATCAGCTCAGTGCAGTTTCAGACTATAAACTTCTGTCAGATTACTGCTCCCCCTATGCAAGCCTAGGCCTCTCTACTACTCTTTTCAGACTCATCCTATTTTTTGGAGAGTTCTATGATGTCCATAGAATAGAGAGTCCATGATGACCATTGTTTGTTTTGAGGCACTCAGAACTGGAATTTTATATTGTATGTACATAGTACTTAGTGGTATACGGCACTAAGTAAACTGCAAAAAACATCTATGTTCAATCAAAAGTGACAAGATTTGTCACATACAGTTCATCACTCTAGAACTAACTTCTGATCCAAAGATATCTTTGCTGTGCAAAAACTGATGTCTTTATGGGGCAAACACCAAGGGGTACCTGACATGCTGTCGTCTTCCTCTTCTTGTTGCCTCTCCATAGCCTTTGATAGAGTCACCAAAAACACTAATTATCTACAAGAGAAAAGAGGTTTGAGCTGTCAGAAGGGATCACATACAAAAAGCTTTTCCAGTATTAGCTCATGCCTCTCCTGGGAATGCATCTTCTTTTAACAAAATGCCCCTGGAGAATTTAATGTGTCAAGAATACAAGTGTTTATGGAAAAAAAAACAGTTTAAGGAAAACTCCTCTGTATTCCAGTCCTTTTTATTATTTACAGTCCTGTATTAAATGTCTAAAATAAATCCTATTGTTATCTTCCATTTGTACTGTTCTTTGAGATGAAGACATGTAAACTGACATTTTGTATAAAATGAAAAAAAAAAAAAACAAACCCACAAAATATTTGTTCATGTCTCCTCCAAGAGAATATATTTCAAAGTTTAAGATGCAAATGCATTCCCCTTCATATTATCTAAAAAACACTATGGAATAAGAAATTCAGTAACTTTTTTTTCAGATCTATAAAGTCAGAGTAGATCAACTTAGTCTTAAACCTACTTTAAATTTGGTTAGAATGGGAGGTTAAGTTTTACTGTGCAAGTACTGGAAAGGAGTTTTAATTCTACAAACTTGTTCCAAAGCAGTTTCATTTTTATTTGAGCAATTTCTTTTCTAGGTTATCCTCAAAGGCATCTGTGGCAATCTTGTGTGAAGAGTGCTTTGTCTAAAGTATTTTCAAAATCTAGTTTCACACTGATTTTTTGTTTGTATCTAGCTATGATGACTGTGTGATCCCATTACTGTTCTCAACCTGTTTTCCAGTTAGCCAAATGAAGAATTTAAATTCCTGGGTATCAGTGCAGTGCCTCACAGAATGACAGAACCATAGTGAAGTGCCACAATAGAGTAAGTGTGCTGAGAAAAGGCGTCAGGTAAGATCAACAGAGCTTAGTGGGACCAGTTGCCTCTCTGACCCACAGAATTCAAGTGCTGCATTTAACAGGCACTCAGAAAAGTCCCAAAAACTTTCTGTATGGTGACACAAGCACATGCTCTGAAGGGCAGACTGTATTTCCATCAGTTTTTGTGCTGCGGCACACTCACTTGGCTTCTAGCAGGCTAGTTCACACAAGCTCAATGCTTGCACTGTCTTGGACTAATGGGGGCTCTGCTCTGGAGCTGACACACCCCATGCCAACTAAAAGCACTGGCAGAACTGCTAAAGCACCAAGTGGGTCTTCACATAGCTTGTGAGATTCCTTACACAAAGTTTTGACTTGAAGAGAGACAGTAACTACTGAGAGACACAAACTTATGCCTAAAGCTCAAAAACCAACCTCAGGATGAGATCTGCACTTCTCCAAGGCATCTCCATAGATCTTATTTGGACTAGAAGAAGAGAATAGCTCTTTAAAAATCACATAGAACAAACCACCTGTAACAGAAACAACATCAGATGGAATGAAAACGTATCAAACCAGATGGAATTAATGAAAAGTGTCTTCTGATAAAGAACGTAATTTTAAAAAATAACCTGTAACACCAATTCCAACAAGCACCACAATAAAATAGGTAAAGTCTCTTCCAGCTTCTTTCACTGAAATGAAACAGAAAACAACATATAAGTTACAACCTTGGATAATAACACTTCTATGACTTTCTTACATAAATGCTCTTCTGTTAGTCTGTAGCTCAAATGACATTTTAGCAGAAGAAAAATTTCCAGTAACAGTTTCCATAATGCCTCATTGCTGTAAAAGATACCATGGAACATCTCTCATATTTTACAGGGCACATTTACATCTCTGTGTCAAGCCTTATTATTTCTGTTTGCCAGATGTTTTCAAGATCCAAAGTAGCAATTACTGCTACTTTTTGGGTGCGTGAGAGCTAGACTTTTTAGGAACTAATGAGGTATTTAGCACTGCAGTATTCACACTACTACCTAAACCCATAATCACTGCAATCCTTGTATGAAGAAAAGAAGTCAAAAAAAAAAGTGAAAGCTTTTAAGTTGCACACAATGAAAATAACTGATTTTATGAATTAGCAATCAATACAACAATAAAAAAATAGACCAAAATAATTTTTAAAAAACATAATTAACTGCTGTTTGATTAGTTTTTATCTTTCAATTTTGATCTAAAGTACAAGTGTCAGTATATACTGCAAAATAAGTAATACAAGATTGTCTGTTTCAATATATTTGAGTACTTGGAAAGAGACCACTATCTTTTAGTGATAAAGTGTGCATTTCAGTGGAGTACAACTTATGGAGGAAATGTTAATAACTATTTCTCCTGTAGCCTTCTAATCAGCTGAAGGTTAGTTATGAAGTTTTTCATAAGTCATTTCAAAGTACTGAAAGTGAATGAGACCAACTAAAGTGAAGGCAATCCCTAAAGAAGCTACCAGCACATGTAGAGCTTTGACAATTTTGTTGGAGGTGAACTTATTTCAACAGCCGTACAGACAAGCTACATGTGATAGGTTTTCCTTCTGAAAGGGAAAATGAGAGGCTATTACATCTTGTGCCTGATAATTCTTAGATGAACGGGCCGTTTAGAAGAAATCACATAATTTGTTCTGATTGTGCAATGCATACAGAGAAATATAAAATCTGCTCCAAACAATACGATGGGAAAAGAAACCCGCTTGGTGTGCTGATATTTTTTTTTCTAGATACTTGATGTTTGGAACTACAAAACGTTAGCTGCAGAAGGAACCTCCTCCAGCCCTTCTGAGCAGAACACAGCATCCTCCGCCTTACCTTTCTGAGCCGCCGACACCAGTGTTTCCTCGTTCAGCGCCCTTTGCACGGTCACATCTTTGTTATCACCGCCAGGTTTTGCAGCTTTCAGCCCTCCCGCCTGCGTCCCGAAGCTCTGCCGGGCGGCCCTGAGCAGCAGCGGGGGCCGGAGCCGCCACCTCGGGCAGGAGCAGGGCACGGCGCCGGCCCCCAGGAGCGCCCACCCGCGAGTGGCGAGCAGCCAGCGGCCCAGGCAGCCCCGCCCGAGGGAGGCGGGCAGCGTCCGGGGCAGCACGCCGGGCATGGCTCCCGCTGCACGCCCGGGGCAGGCGAGCCGAACGGAGTTTGTGCCACTCGCCACCGCAACAGGGACGTGCCCCGGCAGCCTCCGCCCCGAGCGGGCGCTGCTCCAGCTCGGGAGCCCACCTGCACCTCTACCACCGCTAGCCGCTGCCCCGGCGGAAATGTTTGGGACGGCGGAGCAGCGAGCGGCGGCGGCGGGTCCTGGGAGCGGTAGTTTGAGCGGGCTCCCTCTCCCGCCCGCCGCCGGGAGCGGCTCCCAGCGCGGTCACTACAGCGCCCGCCATGCCCAGCGCCGCCGCCGCCACAGCCCGCCCTCCGCGGGCGGGACCCCCGCTCCTTTCAGGGGTGGGCATGCGGGGGCTGCTCGCCGCGCCTGCCGTGCCGGTCACCTATTTGGAGCTGTGTTTTCGTGCATGTTTTTCTTGGTCTTGCACACATATATGTGTTAAAGCGATGCAGTTGACGTTTCCACGGGTGGAGACGGCTAGCGGGATCTGGGCAAGCTAAATCGGTGGGCCAGGATGGATGGCGTGAGGTTCAACATGGCCAAGTGTTGGGTCCTGGCTCGCAACAATCCCAGGCAGCGCTGGGGACATAGTGGTTGGAAAAGTGCTGGTGGAAAAGGACTTGGGCGGCTGGTGACAGCTGCTGAACGTGAGCCAGCGTGTGCCCAGGTGGCCAAAGCCAAAGGCTTCCTGGCCTGTATCAGAACCAGTGTTGTGAGCAGGACTAGGGAGGTGATTGTCCCACTGTACTCGGCACTGCTGAGGCCACACCTTGAGTACTGTGCTCAGTTCTGAAAGATAAGAAAGATACTGAGCTGCTGGAGCGAGTCCAGAGAAAGGTAACGGAGCTGGTGAAGGGTCCGGAGCACATGTTTTAGGAGGACCGGCTGAGGGAACTGGGGATGTTTAGCTTGGAGAAAAGGAGGCTCAGGGGGACTTTATGACACCGTACAAATCCCTAGAAGCAAGATGTGGCTAGGTGGGAATCAGCCTCTTCTCCGACAAGAGGAAATGGCCTCAAGTTGTTCCAGGGGAGTTTTAGGCTGGACATTAAGAATTTCTCCAGAGAAAAGACGATTAGACATGGGAATGGGCTCAGGGAAGTGGCGGAGCCACTGACCCTGGAGACGTTTAAGGAAAGACTGGAATTGGCACTTAATGCTGTGGTCTGATTGACGTGGTGGTCTTTGGTCGTAGGTTGTACTTAATAATCTCAGAGGTGTTTTCCAACCTAATTAATTCTGTGTTTTTGAGACCCGAGAACAGTGTCCGAGAGCTCGGAGCTCACTGTGGGGGCGGGAGGCGCAGGACGCTCCTCGGGCAGCACCGCCGTTAACGCTCCCCGCGCGCCTCGCGCGGCCGCGCTCTCGCCCCGCCCCCGGCACCGCCTCCCTCGGGCTGCCGCCGTCCCGCCCCGCCTCAGCGCGCAGAACGGGAGGCGGCGCCTCCTGCTCCTTCCCTTCCCTTCCCTCCCCGCTGGCGGTGCGAGGCCGCCGCTGTCGCGGCCATGGCGACGGGCCGTGGCAGGTAACGGTGGGCGCGCCGAGCGGGGCTCTGCCGGCCCGGGGCTGCCTGCTTGGCATTCACCTTTTCCGGGGAGGGTGGGTTTCTTGTTTTCCGTCAGCTCCCATTGCTTCTCTGGGAAACTTATTTCACCTGCTCCATGGCTCTGGTTTCTAGCTTTCGGCTCTTCCCGGCGAGGGCTGTGACCATGGTGCTCTCCTCTCCTTGGCCCTGGCCCTGTGGGCACGTTGCAGTGTTGCCAGCTGCACGGAGGCCTGGGTTTGGCACTTCTTGTTCTGCCTGGAAAGGGGAGCTTAAACTTCAGTACCGTCCTTCAGCTTGAAGGAGGTGCTATAATGAGTTAGTTGAATGGCTGCTTTATGTGTGTTCAGGGTCGTTAGGCCTTTGTAATAGCTGTGGAAGGTGTGGTTTTCTTAATTCTTACAGTACAGGTTCAGCTTTCAGAATCTTAAAACATCAGTCTGACAGGCAAAGTTGAGAAAGCATATTTTTCTGCTAACCCATTTCTTCAGCCTTGGGTTTCAGCACAGTTTTCATTCCCCCTGCTGGTTGTTTTTTTTTTTTTTTTTTTTTTTTCCTTTTTTTTTTAACCTGCAAATGGATTGGGGTAATACCCACCTTTTAAAAAGACTGAAATTGTTAGCTGAGGGAACAAAACCCAACCAACCCATGTCAAAACGCTATTTTTGTTTATCCCCAGATGTGCTTTAACAGGTGGAGGAGACAGATTTTATCACTATTTAAAACTTTTTGTACACTGTTTGAAATTTACTTGAAAGACAATTGTTTGCTGACCATCAAAAAACCAAGGCACATTGCAAGTGTTATAGGGTGTGAAAGTGAAAATACTGGTACAAAACTGAGCCCCACAAGGTGAAAGGTAATGAAAAAGCAGCTGAATTTGTTGTGCCTCTTAAGTAAGATCATCTCAGTTGTTCTAGAAGTCTCTAAAGAGGGGGTGTAACAGCTGTCATTGATTTTTATCTTAGGCTTATCTGCCCAAGCTGTGGACATGCAATGTAAAAGCATTCTGTGAATGCTAATTTAAAATCTTAGCACACACAGTACTTGAAAAGTAATTTATGGATTGGGTTTGCTGTTTGTTTCTTCATACCTTGAGAATATTTTTGTTTTGGAAAATGCAAAAGTTCTGCAGTTTTTTTTAATTGAAGCTTACAAAAACAATAGCTGTTACATTAAAGTTTTCAAGGCATGTGTGGGCAAAATGTTTCTTTCCTCATATATTTCTCCCTGGAGTGAAGAAGGGGAGAGAGGGTGGTTTAAATGAGCAAGAAGGACTGAATACAGGCTATGCAGGTTATGCTTGTCCAAGGTAGTGTGTTTTAAAATCCAGAATCCAGCTTCTTATCTGAATTAATCCTGTGGCTGGAGTCTGTGAAGTTGTGTCCCTATAGGGTATTCCCAAACTCTCTGCTTTCAGCATGGATTCAGGGGAGAATAGCCTGGGATGTGCTGCCCTGGAATATACAGAGTGATAACTGCTGCTGTTGAGCACAACTTGTGTCTCTAAATCCCTTTAATGGCAATTTGTTAGTGCCTCAACATCAAAGAGTTCTTGGTAATGATACATGAGTAAAACCCTTGTTTGATGTCCAGGTTGTATTTATTATAAGACTACTCTTTCGTAGTTGTTAACTATGTTGGTCTATCAGTGATTGACACCCAAGCTGAAATGTGCTTGTCTTTTTGTTAAACTTATAGAAATTCTCAGTAAAATGTCTTGGGTTTTTTTGTTTTTACATAGCACCATTGACAGTGTGGACCAGCGTTGTTAATTTCTTTTGATTTTATTTTTGAGCATAAATGAATCTTAAATCAAAACCAGTAGGCATTAAATGTATATGGTACCCATATAGTTTAAAATTAGCTATTTCCCCCCAATATGAATTGGTTGCCTAGAAACCCAGAGCTGGTTTGGCCAGGTGTTGGAATTGTGCTGGCAATTTAAAAAGTCAATAATCCAGTGAATGGGGAGCTTTGCCTGCTTGGTGGCATCAGTGGGTATGAAGTGTAAGAATTTGGTTTAAGATTGAAACTCTGTCTCCATATTTCTGTGTGGATTAATGATAGTATTTGTTTGCAATTGCAGCTTACGAAGTCCTTCCTATCAGAAAACTTGGAAAAATGTGTGAGCGGTTGGATTGTAAGAATTTGTGTTAGAAATATGCAGAATTCCTTTCTTTTCTCTGTAAATTGGTATGTGGAAATGTTGCCAAAATAGGTTCTTTCACTGTGGTATGCAGGAGGCCAATCCAGGCACAGGGTTAAGGTATTTGATGGCTTTACAGTTCTGCACAGAAGGGGATGTTGGGTGGCAAATCCACAAAACCAGCACACCAACTAATAAAATGTTTTACTATTTTATACATTTTAGCTAAGGAAGGAATTATTTTTTATTGGATACAAGTAAGATAATTCTTTTATTAATTAGTTTTCTAGCTTCCGTTGGATAATGATTCTCTTGCTTCTCATGCTAATTAGTTTGCATGTTCAGTCTTTGTCTTTTTTGTGGCAGTGAGTTTCTTGGGTCAGTGATTGCAATCTCATACTTCTAGAAGCTGGTGCTGATTTCAGCACAATTGCTGAGTTGGCTTTAATAGTTTCTTCCTTATCTTGGGAGTTGTTCCAGGTATCCTTGTGGCCTGTAAATTCTGCATTCTTTATGTCCGCTAGCAGTGGCCATCCTTCTTCCCAAGCTTTGTTGACCTCCCCCTAGGTCTGAAATCAGTGAAGCATGTCAAGCCCTAAACCTTAACAAAGCAATTCTACCAACAAGTAATTTGTCTGACTGACATCTGGACATCCCTTAGAGCTTGTTAGCTGCCTTCTGTTTCATGGATTGAATCTCCTTTGTTGCTGTTTATGCAAGCAAACAGCATAGTATAGTATGAAAGTATACAAATACTTTTTGAACCGCAACAGTTTTTGAGGAAGTTTCAAGGTATTGTTTCTATCTGGTGTCTTTTCATAGCTTAGTAGATTTGGGTGGCTCAAAAATGTCTCTGGAGTAATGTTGTGAAACAGAAGATGAATCAGTTAGTTTGACTTGCTCCAGGGGTCTCAGTGGAGCTTGGTTGTAGTGGCCAAGCAGTGGTGCTGCTGTCTAAGGGTAATAGAGCTCTACTGGATTCAGACTGATTTGAGGGAACACTATTCCCTTTGCCTGCTGTGAGAGATCAATCACAGGATTGACAGCTGTGAGTTTAAATCTGAGTCTTCCTGATGCAAAGTATTTTAACTTAGGTGTAATTGTTCAAGTAATAATGATTGCCATGTGATCTATTCCCTGCATCCTGTGTTGGTTGAAATGTTGTGTCTAGGTGTGCACAGTATGTGTATTTCTTCATTTTGTGATTCTTCATATGTGATTCTTAACAGCTTTTCCTTCTTACAAGTAGGTCAAGGACCTTTGCTGCCAGGCCTATGAAATGTTCTGAAACTCTAAATGCTGGAATTAAAAGTCTGTACTTGACACCTCCCATAAAACTGAAACCAAATGTGTGCATTGAGAGGTGAGTATGTCTTTATGTTAGGAGTAAGAGTGGAAGTCCCCCCGTAAGCTGTATTTTGACTGCTTGCAGTAATTATATTCATATCATGGGAGATTTCTATGTCAGATACT